AAATTGGTGTGCCTTTATAGGTAAGCTGTCAATTAAGATTTTAAATTTACTTTTGTCTTTAGTTCCCAAACATTTAATTATGATATGTCAATTCAGTTTGCGTTTCACTTACCTTCTTAAATGTATAGGTTTGTGTCTTTCATCAAATTTGGGACATTTTAGCCATTGTTTCTCTGAATTCTGATAACAGCAGTACCCTGTCTCTCACCTTCTGGAACTTCTATGAAGTTGAAACATTGGTTATTGTACCACAGATCCCTGAGGCTTTGTTCACCTTTTTTTTTTTTCAGTCTCTTTTGTCTGTTCAGACTGTGTAAATTCTATTTGTCCTCAAGTTTCCTGATTCTATCCTCTGTCATCTCCACTCTGCTACTGACTCCACACAATGTTTTTAAATCTGTTATTGTATTTTTCAGTTCTACAATTTTCATGTGGTTCTTTTGTATAACTTCTGTTTCTTTGCTGAGAACTTCTTTTTTTTTCATTTTTTTCAAGATAATTTGTATTTGTTTATTGACACATTTTTAAGACTCATGTTTTAAATCTTTTCAATGTCTCAGTTGTTTTTTCTCATCGAAGTTGTGATTTTCCTGGTTCTTGGTGTGACAGGTGATTTTCAGTTGTATCCTGGATATTTTGTCTATTGTTAGGAGATTCTGGGTCTTATTTAAATCTTTTCTTTTAGTAGATAGTCACCTTGTTTAGCTTTAGGACACAGGTTCTTTCCTGTATTGGGGGATTGTGGGCCCGATGAGTTTAATTTTGGTGCAATTGAGATCTGTTCTCTGCTAGAGAGACCTCGTCATCTCGTAGCCTGAGATTGCCCTAGCTGAGTGCTTTTGGTGGTGGAATCCCTCCTGTCCAAGTTATCTAGCTGTTCCAGTGTCTTTGGGTGGTTAGAAGAGAGACCTAGGCTTGCTGGGGCAAAGATGCTTCCCAGGTTGAGCTGTTTGTTGTGGTGGAGTCCCCCTTTCTTTTAATCCTTGCTTAACTGACTATCTCCCAGTGGGGGAGGGGAGTCTCAGGCCTAGCAGGAAAAAACGAATCTCCTTCTGGCCACTTGTTAGTGGAGCACTCAACTTTACCTCCTGTTGGTGATACCTGGCTTACCCAGTAGTGTCAGAGGGATTGCAATTGCTCAGGGGTAGGAATGAGAGTATCTGGGTGGCCTTCTGTTGTTAGGTTGTGAAAGGTCAGGCCTAGGTTGGCTTCTAGATGGTGAGGGAATGTAAAATGCTTTGCTACTATCTTGTTTCTCCAGTCTTGAGATTCTGAACCAATTCACTTTCTTTTATCACTTAGGATTTTTCTTTGGTTGTCTTTTGCATTATTTTGAGGAGTTGTGATTATACTTAACCATATTGCTATACTTAGTGGGGAGGAGCAGGGAGACAGAAGTCTGTACCATTTTGTCTGGACAAAATTTTCAGCTCAATTATTTTGACAATTATGATAGCCTTCTGAATTTTTCCTGATACTGAATGACTTTCTAAAATTGAGGATATCTAGCGGAGACACAGTAACTTGTTAGGTTTGGACTGAGTTCACGTATATAAGTTGTGTCTGCTTTTTTTATGGAGGAAGTGTTATAATAATTCCTAATTTAAAGTGAGAGGGTTAAAAAAAAGGAGCCTGGGGTCAGAATGAGGTTCTAGCTGAATGTTCCCACTATGTAGGGCTATTGCGATCATTAAGGATAAAATTACTTATGCAGTGCATTGATCCCCAGTGCATGCAGGCAACAATAAGCACCCAATAAACATTACTGTTCCCTTTCTTTTACATGGCCCAGTTTTTCTCTGAATTGTTTAAAGTCCCTGAAGACAGAAATGATCTGTCTTTTTTCACCTTGTATCACTAGGGTCTGGAATAGTACCTGGCAATAAAAATCGAACTGCCTGAATAGCATTTATATCATTTGTAACACCTCCATCTCCTCCCAGCCATGCTCTTTCCATCTTTTCGAATTTCACTGACCTCGTGATTTAGTTTCTTGCTTGAATTAGCTCATTATTGGCTTTCTTCCTCCTCTATTCATTTCCTGTGCCTTGAAGCAATAAGCTTCTCTGTGCTAATGTGTTTTGATGATTCTCTGTTTCCCAGTCATCCCAATGCTTGGGCAAAGATATAACCTGTTTTTCTCCTGAATTTTAGTCCGTAAGAATCATAGCCCCTATGACTTGGCAGAGGAGGAGTATTTCTTCATAGCATCCATTTTACTGGACCAGAATAATAGGCCTACCTCACAAATACAGATTTTTAGACAATTTGTTCACTCCTCATAGCAGATCAAGAGGCTGCAAGGAGAAGTTCTAAATTTAAATCCAAGTTGCTGTCAGGTAAAATCAACCTAGATGAAAACAATAATCACTTAAATCTTAATGTGTGCCAAATATGTATCATATGTTGCCATGAAAAATCAAACTCTACAAAACATATTTTTTTGCCTTAACAAATTAAATAGGTTAGAAAAACACTGAACTATCTAAGTAGTAGGTGCGCTCTGGCACAGCATGATCAGAAAACACACACCATACAAATTAAGGAACAATACACATCCAATATCCACTGTGTGTATTTCCTTGGGATTTTAAAACAAAATTTTCCAAACTCCACCCCAGAGCCTTCTGCCAATTTTACCACATATCTGATGACATTATGCAGAACGGAAGCTCAAGGTGTTCAGTGTATTAAAAACAAAACAAAACAAAACAAAACAATACAAATGAAGTATTTATACTCACAGGTGGCTCAGAAACAGAGTAGGACTCATGCTTGGGGTAAACAGTATGAAACTCAATCGTATTCTTCCTTTCAGCAGAAAATTTAGCTTATAAGATATTCTCATAATCAAGATAGATATTAAAGAAAGCTAACACTTCACTACACTTTATTTTTGTTTTTTCTTTGTACTGAAATAAGCAGTTTACAAAGACTTCCTCTCAACTCATTAAAACCTGACCAGGAAGGAAAAGATAAGTCCAACACTTACTACCATAATTTGGATTAAGATACATAACATTCCTAGAGTTTCTTTTCAACAAACAAAATATGCCATTAGCCCCAGGAAAGAGTAGATCTTTTCAATGTCATGCCATGTAAAGGAAAAAAGACACACTGTGAGATAATTTTTTGAATCCAATGTTTTTATTTGATTAAGGCTTTTTAAAAGTAAAATAATCTCTGTATTTCTGTAAAACATATAGAGAAATCCACATCCGTGTATTTGTATACTGCCCAAATCTGATCGATGACATTTCTGATATTGAGGTTGTGGTCTTCATTGCTCAGTTAGAACAAACAATTTTTCTATTCGAAGGTAGTATATATTTTTGAATTTCTTTGAAATGGTGGTTAAACATACATTGAGTGAACCTCAATGTAGGTAGAGATGCAACATTCATGAGGAACCACTAATATTTAATAAGTTTATATGACATGAGAAGTATTGATGTCTGTGTATGGATCGGAAGTCAACTGGGTACTCTATTCAGAACGGTTCAAATTGAGATAAGAAAGTCTCATACAATCAATTAAACTGAGTTGATGGTTCTTCTGATAGGAGAATATAGGAGCACAATGAAAATGCCTAAAAAAATGAAGACTGTGTCTATAGCATAACTTGTTTGGTAAGTGGTAAGATTAGAAAAATATAAAAGCAAAAAACTTTTCCTAGAAAGATTGACCGTGGCCTATGACTAAACACTCAAAGTTCCAATTCTACATTAACTACATTTTATGACACTTCTAATGTTAAGAAGACATTGGATCATTAACCAAAACAATTCTACAAAGGGAAATATTGCTCCAATGTGACTGTTAATTCTAGAGAGTGATATTTTATTTCACAGACAGCATGAGTTTATATATATCTATTATCAGTGCCTTGATAATCAAATGATTTAAAAGTTAGCAGCAGTTTCTGCAAGTACAAAAATACACATGTATTACATAACATATCGTGGTAAAATTTGTCAGGATATATTATACAAACTCAAAGCTTTTTAGATAAAGCATCAGTCTATTATAGATTAACAGGGTGTGATAAAATGGCATATAGTCTGTGTTCAAATCATACCATGTAATACTTTACAGCAATATTAACAAATTATTCACATTAAGTATTACAGGAGTATCTAAGGGAACACATAAAGAAAGTAGGAATGGTTATTTCAGACTTCAACATTTATTTTCTTCTGTGCTTCAAATTGGGTGGGTGAATTTTTTCTTTTTCTTTCTTTCTTTTTCTTTTGGTGATTTTTGACTCATCAATGTGGGGAAAAAAAGGCTCAAATGTTATTTTGTCAAGTAGGGAAGAAATTTACTTCACAAAGACACTCAAAATCATAAGAGCTTCAGTGCTGACAGTAACAGTGCTGGTACCGGTAAGGGGAATCCCTGGCCTTTATACAGTATACTGCAAAAGATGCATATGGACATTTAGGAATCTAAATACAGGAGTGGTTGGTTACAAGGTGAAGTCTACTTCATATTTGTGATTCAGATGGTTATTATCATGAAGGAGTTCTTTGGACCCAGAGTTCTAAGCTAGTTATAATGCTTAGGGCAAACACAGCCATGTACCCTAGAGGTAGGTAGCACCCATAGTTAATACTGAAAGGACTTAGATCTCACAGAAAAAAATTTTTTCCTCTCTAACTGAAAAATGCAATCTTCAGGACAACAGGAAAGAACTTATGACAAAGTTTCCTGGAGGCTCAGAAAAATAATTTGGAATAAGCTAGTTTGTGGGTCTACAATAGCTTGTGATGGGGGAAAACGTTCAACCGAAGACCTTTAAACACGGTAAGAATCCAATGTCTACAACAACAGAAGCTGAGCTAATCATGGACATAAAGACAGGAATTATAATGACTCCTTTGTATAAAATACCTGGGATGGGTAGCATAAAGATAATCATCGCTAATAGGACGATAAAAGAATTCTCTTTACAGAGACCATTTGGCAAAAAGTTTAGACTGAAACTGGCTCTTTTCCTCTGGAATGGGCTTTTCTAAATCTGCTTTTTCTTCTTTCAGAATTAGGTTTTTATGATTCACTATAACAGTAAAAAGAGAAAAACTCTTTAGTCATTGTTTCCAATGACTAAAAGTAAACATGTGAGTAAACACCTAACTCCCTTTATTGCTTTTATAGAGAATTATATAAACCTAATTCTAAAAGCAAAAAGCAGCTTTGAAAAAGCCCATCCCAGATGAAAAGAGCCAGTTTTAGTCTAAACTTTTTGCCAGATGGTCTCCTTAAAGAGAATTCTTTTGTAGTCCTAAGTATTAGCAATGATTATCTTTATGCTACCCATCTCAGGTATTTTATACAATGGGGTCATAATAATTCCAGTATTTATGTCCATGATTAGCTCAGTTTCTGTTCTTATAGACGTCAGATTCTTATTGTGGTTAAATGTCTTTGGTTGAATGTTTTTTCCCAACATCACAAATGACCGTAGGCCCTGAGTCCGAGCTGGATACATTATTCAGATGAAGGGCAGGCTGAGGATTTTGCGCAAGGCAGAGTGTAAAAGAGTAGTACTCACTACTCTCTCCTTCGTTTGACTGCATACAAAGCTTGAGGCTGTCTTCCACTAGGTTGAGTGCAGAGCAAAAGTGTATCTCTGAGTCCTGGCTGGGATAAGAGCTACAGCACTCAGCTGCTTGCACAGATTCAAGTTCTTCAGCTGCCCTCAGGGGCACATCTTCCTGTTTCTCATGCAGTGACCTGGCTTCTGAAACACCAGAAGCATGTGCAGGTGGCTCCGTGCATCTTTTGAGAGAACCTCTTTTCTCTTCCTCTGGTCCATATGCCTTTGGTTTTTTTCTGAGGGACCAGTTTTTCAGAGCGGCCATGCCATTTCTCAACCATTTCATGGGGTGAAGAGTTACAGAGTGTGAGGGACACTTTACACTATCCTTACTTGAATAAGCCAGTTGACTGCTGGTCTGCCCAGATGCGGGAGCAGGCATTCCAGAAATGAGGCCGGAACTGCAAAGGTCAGAAGAAGGGTCTTCCTGAAAAGCACAATCGACTGGTGAGGAAGTATCAGCGGGTGTCAACACGAAGTGTTCAGACATCTGCAGTAAATCACTGTCTTGGGAGCTCACTGATGAGCCAGATGGGGAAGTGCCTGGGGAGGACAAACTGGTAGAGCTAGTGCTTGGGCAAGTGTTTAAGTTTGAGGGTGAAAACTTCTCGGCATTTTGGTTTATGGCACTACTCTTGCCCACCTTGATGCCCATGACTAAACTCTGATTAATGAGCTTTTGCCCCTCCATTTGCAAAGTCTTCTGCGGCTTGAGATAATCATCTTCTCCGTCTAAGTGATCAGCTTCATAGCTGGTTGTCTGTTGTTTCTTTGAATAAATACCCACGAGATGGCTCAGTTTGCAGTGCTGGTCGTGACTGCTGGGCTCTGAGCAGCGCTGGTGCCTCCTTGAACTCTTGTGGGCACCTGTTGTGTGTTCCGGGAAGTATTTAGATGTACTCGAATCAAAGGGCACGTTTTGTGAATGATCATGTGAGGACACGTGACTGTAAGATGCCTCAGAAATGGCCACTGGCTTGGATTTAGAAAAAAGTTTCACATGATTTCCTTCATTATCAGATGAGCTTTCCTTCTTAACTTGTTTATTAGTGGCAATTTTTTGGATATCAGTGCTTCCCTGACCAATTTTCTTAAGCACTTCATTACGTGGAGCATCGACATCCTCATTCAGTTCATTGTCTAAGCTGCCAAAGGAGGAGTCATCATTTGGATGCAGGGGATATCTGTCAATAAATCAAACCATGATTAACATTGTTGCTTACCAATACATGCTGCATTAAAAAAGAACTTATGGGGCTTAGTTTAATTCTCTTTTCATGTGACTTGTTCAAATTCCTACTCTCAAGATAGAAAGGATTGCTCACGATCTTCTCAATTGTTTGTACAGAATATAAAATAAAATTGTTGTGGTATATTAGACTATTTCAGTTCTGGAAGAAATGGGCTTTCCTTAAGGAAGATTTCTTCAAAACAATGAGACACATCATAACAACAAGAAATGGCAAGAAACATGTAAAGGAATCGGTGCCAGGTATATCTAGGTTCTGAATAAGACTGCCTTCTAACATGGGTATACATAATTAACTCTAGTCTCAGGGAAACCATTTACTAACTCCATCAATTTCTCTTTGACAAAGTTCTTTAATATCCATTACTTATTTATTCTTTAAAACAACCATAAAAGTTAGACATTATGGTTATCCATGTTTCCTAGATGCAGAATTGATGTTCAGTGGCACAGAATAATTGGCCAAAGGTAACAACTAGTAATTGGTGGTAGAGGAATTCATATTCTGTGAGGTTAAATGTCTTCAAGTCTCCCCGCTACCTCTGGCATGATGCTAACTGTTTTTAAACTGTTTCAAAGTGCCCTAGAATTCTGAGGTGTCTCAGGGACTACTAAGAGGAAAGAGAGAAAGAAAAAGACCAGGCCTGCTTCTGGGTCTTCTATTCCAATTTTAACTACAGTCATTCTACATGTACATTAGCATTTCTTGTGTAGTTCTATTAACAAAAAAAAAGATGAAAACCATCATAGCATATCATGCTGCCACTAACAAGTTCTTGAAGTTTGGAATCTAGCCTTATGCCTTTCTTAACCCCACCAGTGTGAACATTAGCAGGCTTTCTCAAGAAGGAGCCCTGGACCCACTGACTCAACTCAGAGGCTCCCTTCACCTGAGCTTCTGGGCTCTGGGACCACAACTGTCCCAGCATCTTCACAGACATGTGTCTCTTTCTCACAAAAAACAACCCAATTATTCACAATACCTGAGGTATCCTCTTTCTTTTCAAAATTCTCTGCAATCTCTCCCATGAGGGAAGTGATTTCCCCTCCAAATATTGGATGATATTTTTCAATTATATACTGAATAAGTTGAGAAACCTGTACAAAAAAGGACAAAAATGAAATGCTACTTTTCGTATGCATATCTATACATCACATTTCATATATGAATCCTGATTTTAACTAAAAAGTGCAAACGAATCCCAAGAAAAATTCACATCTGCTTTAAAATATACAAAACAGTTTCCTCTAAAAACTATGGCACTGTCAAGAGTAATGTGGCTATAGAGATTAATTTTCATCAGTGGACTACAATTATTTGTGGCCGTGGCCTATATGCTAACATATTATACCAATGGCTTTGTTTCAATTT